AGAAAGAAATTAGCTGGACAACTAAAAATAAATATATAGAAAAAATTAGCCTGGCATGGTGGCGCATGCCTGTAGTCGCAGCTACTTGGGAGGCCGAGAGGGGAGGATCACTCGAGGTCAGGAGTTCGAGACCAGCCTGAGCAAGAGCGAGACCCCATCTCTATTAAAAAAAAATAGAAAGAAATTAATCGGACGACTAAAAATATACAGAAAAAATTAGCCGGGCATGGTGGCGAATGTCTGTAGTCCCAGCTACTCGGGAGGCTGAGGCAGGAGGATCGCTCGAGGTCAGGAGTTGGAGGTTGCTGTGAGCGAGGCTGACACCATGGCACTCCAGCCTGGGCAACAGAGCCAGACCCTATCTCAAAAAAAAAAACCAAAAAATGAAACTCACGCTGGGGGTGTTGCCTCCGGTTAGTGGTTGAAACACCCGGAACAGGGACCCTCCCTGGGGCACAGGCGTCCCCCCGGGGATGAACCCTCGGCTGACGGGTCCCGGCGGGGTCTGGGGGCCCAGGCCGCGTGGACCGTCTGGCGGGCTGGACGCGGACGCTTGCTTCAGCCTGCAGGCTTTCGTGCTACCAGCACCGCGGGCGTCCTCCTGGGCCGTCCTGGGGGGGAGGCCTCAGGCGGTCTCCCCGCCCCGGCGCCCTGCTCTGCCGGCTGAGGCTGCTGTCACCGTCCCCTCCGCAGGTGGTGGGCTCCCAGGCCCGGATCCTGTACTCCGACCAGAAGGGTCGCGTGGCCATCGCTGTGGCCATCAATGAGGCCATCAGGCAAGGCAAGATCAAGGTGAGGACTCCTGCGCTCGGCGGGGCTTCCCCGAGGCTGCCCCCGTCGCCTCCCTGGGGCTTCAGCCTGCGCACCCCACATCTGTCGGGGCTCAGCCCCACCAGGGAGCTTAGCGCTCCCCTGACCATGCCCCAAACTACCACCTTTTTACCGAAACCTGGTTTCCCTGGAGACTTTGCTCCCTGGGACCGGACGGGCAGAGCGGCTCAGAGATGAGCCGTCCGCAGACTCAGGCCCTTTACACTGTGCTCTGCTGTGTGACTTTGAGCAAGTCAGACGCCCTCTCTGAGCCTCGGTTTCCTCCTTCTGTGAACAGGGAATCACGTCAAAACCTCAAAGTGTGTGTGTGTGTGAGGATGAAATGAGTTGGCTTCCGTGATGGGGTGGTCAGGACAGGCCGGGACGGGGACCTGAGACCTCAGTGCCCAGAATGTGCCAGAACATCTGGGGGGAGTCTGTTTCATTGCAAAGCTGAAGATGTGAGAATAAGCTTGGCCCCGTTTGAGGAGGCAGGGGAGGGCCTTTTAATTCAGGAGCAGTGGGGCCTCCTGGCCTTTCTGACTTGGGGTACGACGGGTTTAAGGGGACACGGCCCCATTGTAAGTTGAGGAGCATCTGCATGGAACACGTGTGGGTGGAAATCCCAGCGTGCTCACTTCTTAACTGCTGGACAAGTTTCTTATGCTCTCTGTGCCTCAGTTCTCCTGTCTGTAAAATGGGCATGACAACAGTCATACCTACATGGACAGGGTGGCACCGTCCCGTGACTCAGTGAGCTCACACAGGGATGCCACACACGGGGGCCACCATCACGCAAGAATCTATGAGTAGGGCCGGGCGCAGTGGCTCACGCCTGTGATCCCAGCACTCTGGGAGGCCGAGGCGGGAGGATTGCTCGAGGTCAGGAGTTCGAGACCAGCCTGAGCAGGAGCGAGACCCCGTCTCTACTAAAAAAAATAGAAAGAAATTAGCTGGATAACTAAAAATATATAGAAAAAATGAGCTGGGCATGGTGGCA